TTAATAACATTAAACTATAATTCACAAGCCATACAAATCAATCAATTAAAGTACAATTCAATAAATTTTAGTGTATTTGGAGTTGTATGAATATCATCACAATTAACTTTTGAGCTTTTTTTATTACTCTAGAATGAAACCTTGCACACATTATTATTCTTGGTTCCTCCATATATCAGCAGATATAGGAAAACACTAGCCTACTTTTCACTGGTATTATTTGTGAATGTTTTTCTCTTCATGTAATAGAGTTAGTTATGTAAGTGGCTAGGGGTGTCTACCATTTTTCAAGTTTCATGCATATATTTTATATCACTGTATCTTCATTTATTTTGATTGCTAAATAGTGAATTCTATGGATATATAATATTTATGTACTTATGACCTTATAGATGTTGGACTGATTCCTCTTTGGGGCAATATGAATGCAGCTTAAGTATTTGTATGCAAGTCATGTGTGGATATATGTATTATTTTGTATATGTGTGTAGGAGAACTGTTTATCATATTTAACATTTTAAACAGGAGTAAAACTGTTTTCCAAAATGATTGCATCCTTTTACATTCTTATCAGCAGGTAAGAAAGTTCTGATTTGTCCCCATCCCTTTCAAGACTAGCTACAAACTGTATTTATTTCCTTTATCCTTGAGGTATTTGTATCTCATAGGGTCTGGGATTTGTCTAATAAATAACTTGGACAACTGTTTTTGAGCAACATTTTATGTATTTATTTGCCATTGTACATTTTCTCAGAAAACTGGTCACATCATTTGCTCATTTTTCACTTGAGATATCTTTGTGTTATTAGTTTTTATTAACTCTAAAACAAAATCATAATCATACACACTCAAACATATTTCTCATTGCAGGTTATTATAATTTTTGTAATGGTGTTCTTTAAAGTATAGACATTTTACATTTTGAATCACTCCCTGCTAACCCATAGGCCAATCCTAGGGAAGTAAGAAGCCTGACTCCAGATATTCACCCCTACATGATTTCCACCATATCCAATTCCCAATTCTCATCCCCACTTCTTCAACAGACTACTTGCTGCACTCTTCCTTCCCCACCTGTCCAAATTTCCTGTAGATGCCCCCAAAAATTTCTCTCCTAATTTCTCTTTTCCCATTTGTTGTTTTATTTCAGCCCCCAAGTCCAGCAGGTACTCCCTGCTAAGTAACTGGCCACTCCTGCCAAGGAACAGGCAAGCTTATTGAAGATCTCGTCTCCTTCTGTTACTCCAGATCCAGTTGACCAGTCTCATTTGTACCTCTATAGCAGACCTTGCATAATCTCCCTTTACTCTCTTTCCCCTTTCCAAGCAGTGGAACACTATGGTTCCCTGCCTCTCTTGTGAACCCCTCAGTCATCTAGCCTATCCCCATTCCTAAGTGTCAGCTCTCAATACCCAGAAACACATTTTACCTGAAACATCCACTGGTCGTGCCTATTAAGTTCACAGAAAATGTCCTAGAAGGCAATACACTGAGACAAAATTCTCTTAAAACCAGAGATAAAACAGAAACCAAGGAAACAACACCTACCTAGAAATATGCTTTTCCCAAACCTAGATGCTTAGACACCAGTGTAAAAACACAATCAATAATATCTAGGACAATATGACTATACTAGAGCTTAGCAACCCTCCCACAGCAGGACTTGAATATATACATATGTGTGTGTGTGTGTGTGTGTGTGTGTGTGTGTGTGTGTGTGTATGAATACATGTATATATACATATTTGAATTTATTTTTATCAGAATTTCTTATGTTCTCCATCTATGATGAATCAAAATTTTGCTGAATATAATAGTCTGAGATGGCCTTTGTGGTTTCATAGAGTCTGTTACATATCTGTCCAGAGAAGTAAAGTATAATTCTAATAGGTCTGCTTTTAAATTTCACTTGGTCTTTTCCCTTGCATCTTTTAAGATTCTTTATTTCTTTTGTACATTTAGTGTTTTGATTATTATTTTCAAAGAGAACTTTCTTTTAAGGTCTTGTCTATTTGACGTTATGTATTTTTTCTTGGACTTTTACAGGCATCTCCTACTTTATGTTAGGGAAATTTTATTCTATGATTTTGTTGAAAATCTTTTCTGTGCATTTGTAATAGGCTTATTCTCCTTCCTCTATTCCTATTAATTTTATATTTTTTCATAGTTTCCTGGAATTTATGACTGTTTTGTGCTAGTAGATTTTAGATTTCCATTTTCTTTGAACAATGTATCCATTTTTTCTAATGTCTGAGATTCTCCCTTCCATCTCTTATAGTCTGTTGTTGAAGCTTGCCTCGATGGTTTATATTCAGATTTCTAAATTTCTCATTTTAAGAATTCCCTTAGTTTGTGTTTTCTTTATTGATTTTCTTTCCATTTTGAGGTCTTGCACAATTTACTTCATTTCCTTCCACTATTTATGTTTTCTTGAATTTCACTGAAGGATTTACTCATTTCATCTATAAGATCTCTATCACCTTCACACAGGCAGTTTTAAGGTCTTTTTCCTGTGTTTCACAGACTCTATGAGGCCACAGATGCCATCTCAGACTACTATACTCAGCAAAATTTTCAACCACCATAGATGAAGAAAATATAAAATTCTATGATAAAAGTAAATTAAAACTATGCACATACACACACACATATCTATATATCTATATCTGTATCTGTATCTGTATCTGTATCTATATCTATATATATCCAGCTTTACAGAAGGTACTAGAAGGAAAACTCCAACATAAAGAATTTAACTGCATACAATAAAACAGACAACCAGAGTCAAAACAACAAGAAAAGCACACACCTATCACCACCACCAACAACAAAGTAATAGGAATGAACAATCATTGGTCATTGATATCTCTCAACATGAACGGTCTCAGTTCCCCAAGGAAAATGACACAGCCTAAGAGAATTGCTGTGAAAACAGTATCTATCATTCTGATGCATCCAGAAAACACACCTAAATATCAAACACAGACATTTCCTCATTGCAAAGATTAGAGAAAGATATTCCAAACATATGAAACAAAGAAGACAGCTGGTGTAACCATTCTAATATCTAACAAAATAGACTTCATACCAAAATTATTCAGAAGAGATAGGAAAAGGCATTACATACTCATTAAACGAAAAATTCACCAAGATATATTTCAATTCTTAACATCTATGCCCTAAATACAAGGACATTCAAGTTTGTAAAAGAAACACTACTATAGCTTAAATCATATGTTGACTCTACAGCTTAAATCACATATCGATCATATTGATTCTTCTACATTGATAGTGCAGAATTTCGATACCTCACAGGTAATTTAGACAAAATCTAGAGAAACACTGGAACTAACATCTGTTAGCTCCAATGAACCTAAGCAAATAGACCTAACAGATATTTACAGAATATTTAACAAAAGGCTATAGCTTGTGGTGTGTATCTTATGGAACTTTCTCCAAAATTGACCACATACTCAGACAGAACATAAGCCTAAAGAAGTTACAAACAATCCCCTGAATCATATCATATCACCATGGATTAAAGCAACATGGATAAACAACAGAAATATTGCAAACTCATGAAAACTAAGCAATTCTCTATTGTATGAAAAATAGATCAAGACAGAAATTAAGAAAGAAATCAAACAACACCTAGAATTGAAAGAAAATAAATATATAACATATCTAAACTTATGGGACACAATGCAAACAATTCTAAGAGGCAAGTTCATAGCAGTAAGTGCCTATACTTTTAAAAATTACCCTTGAAAGACCTAATATTAACAACTTAACAGCGTATCTGTAAGCACTAGAACAGCAGTTCTTTCTGTGGGTTGTGACCCATTGGGTGTCATATATTAGGTATCCTGCATATCAGATATTTACATTATGATTCATAACAGTAACTAAATTGGAGTTATGAAGTAGCAGTGAAATAATTTTATGGAGGTCACCACAATAGGCAGAACTGTATTAAAGGGTCTTAGATATAGAAAGGTTGAAAACTACTCCTCTACAACCAAAAAGAAGAAATCACACCCAATATGATAAAGTGGCAAGTAATAATTAAGCTTGGGGTCAAAAATCAATAAAATAGAATCAAACAAGCAAAACAAACTAAAATTCTGTGAAACAAAGAGTTGATTCTTCGAGAAAATCAAAGATAGACAAACCCAAGTCTAAACTAACTAAAAGATATAGATAGAATATCCAAAGTACCAAAATCAGATGAAAAGGGATAATTTCCTTGAGAGGTACAACTTACCAAAGTAAAGTCAATATCCAAAATATAATTTCAACAGAGCTACAACCATTGATGAAGAAGAAGGAGTCATTAAAAGTCTCCCAACCAAAAAATAAAAATAAAATAACTCAGGGCCAGATGGTTTTAGTGGAGAATTCTACCAGATTTTCAGGAAAGAGTTAATGCCAATATTCCTCAAACTATTCCTGAAAATAGAAACAGAAAGAACATTGCCCAACTCACTTATGAGGCCATGAGACCCTGATACTCAAACCAGAAAAGACCCAACAAGAAAGAGAATTACAGACTAATTTCTCTTATAAACATAGATGTAAAAATTTTCAATAAAATGCATCTAAGCCAAATCTAAGAACACATCAAAAAGATCACTGAACGTGACTAAGTAAGCTTAATTTCAGAGATGGAGGGATAGTTCAATATATGAAAATCAATAAATGCAATCTACCATATAAACAAACTAAGAAAACCCCACATAGTCATCTAATTAGATGCAGAAAAAGACTTTGACAAAATCCAACACCTGTCATGATCAAAGTCCTGGAGAGATCAAAGTCTTGGAGAGATAAGGGATATAAAGGACATACCAAAGCATAATAAAGGGAATTTAAAGCAAATCTATAGCCGCCATAAATAAAATGGACAGAACCTCAAAACAATTCCAATAAAATCATGAGCATGACATGGTTCTTCACACTCTTCATGCCTATTCAATATAGGACTTGAAGTCTTTTTTTTTACCACTCAGACTGTGTCCTCTCCCTCTCAATCCTCAGTGAGAATCAAGAAGGGTCATCAATGGCCAGTAGCAGTTGCAGGAAGCAACGCTAAGAGCCGGCTTCACACTCAGGAGAGAACGCTGTGCCTCCTCCTTGTGGTTTCAGGTGCTCTACATAGTCAGAAAAACTTCTCTAGTAACTAACTATAGAAATGACCCCTGAAAGTATAGTCTTTTGAAGTCTTACCTAGAGCAATACAATGACTGAAGGAGATTAAGGGGATAAAAATTGGAAAGGAAGAATTCAAGGTGTTGCTATTCACAGATGATATGATAGTAGACATAATTGGTCCCAAAAACTCTACCAAAGAACTCTGTCAGCTGATAAACACTTTCAGAAATGTAGGTGGATACAAAATTAATTCACAAAAACCAGTAGCCATCCTATATAAAATCAATTATCCAAAAAAAGAAGAAATTAGAAATTCAATGTCTTCTAATAGGAAATATCTTGGGGTAACTCTAAACAAGCAAATGTATGATGAAAATCATATGATTAAAATTTTCAAGTCATTGAAAAAAACAAATTGAAGAAGATATGAGAAGATGGAAAGATATCCCATGCTTATGGATAAGTAAAACTGACATAGTAAAAATGATCACTCTAACAACAGCTCAATAAAATCCCCATGAAAATTCTAACACAATTCTCTACAAATCTTGAAAAGGAGAGTTTTCAATCACATACAGAAATACAAAAAAATCCAGAATGGTTAAAAGAATAATGAACTGCCAATTCAAGTTATACTACAGAGCCATAGCAAGAAATACTGCATGGTATTGGCATAAAAACTGACATGTTGGTCATTGTAATCAAATAAAAGATTCAGATATAAATCTGCATATCTATAGACATGTGAGTTTTAAACACATTGGAAAAAGCATCTTCAACAAATGCTGCTGCTCAAACTGGATGTTTCCAAGTAGAAGAATGCAAATTGATCCATACTTACCTGTAGACAAAAATTTTTGCAATCTACTTTTATTAGGGGTTCAACTTCCCTAGCCTACCACCCAGCAGAGGTAGTGGAAGAGAAGAGTTATTAGGATATGTGGGAAGTAGACCTGTTCAGCAATAGTTCTTTGGGGGTGAGCTTGCTCTTTTTTGGCAGCAGCTCAGTCCTGTAGCAAACACTAGACATGCCTTAGCAGCTGCAGACCAGTTCTCTAAGCAGGCAGACAACAGGCACAAAAACAGTAGCTACAGTCCAATCCTTTTAACAAGCCAGGCAGCCATAGTTCAATCCTGAAGAAACCACCTGAGACTAGGCCTCAGAAGTGGTAAGGAACCTCATGAGTGAGTATCTCTCAGTGGAGGCATTATCAAAAGTGGAGCTCAACACTATGTAAGGTGAACCAATACATGTGTGTCTTTAGAGAAGAATAGCAAGGTGGAGCAAACCAAACCAAAGCTCAGTGCCTATCTCCCACTGTCTGGGGGTCATATTTATACTCTATCAAGAGTCCTTTCACATGACTGTTATATGCAAACATCTTTTTACCTGTCTACTTCAGGAAAACAGTTTTCCTGGGTTTAATTGGATTATTTTGTTTGTTGATATACAATTCCTTAATTTCTTCATATATTTTGGATATCAGCCCTCTGTCAGATGTGGGGTTGGTGAAGACCTTTTCCCATTCCGTAGGCTTCATTTTTTACAATTGATGGTATTGTTTGCTACACAGAACTTTTTCAGTTTCATGAAGTCCCATTTATTAAATGTTTATGTTAGTGCCTGTGGTAATGTTATTCTGTTCAGAAAAGGTTCTCATGTGCTAATGAGCTCAAGGTTATTCCCATTTTCTCTTCTATCAGATTTGACATATCTGGTTTTATGTTGATGTTTTTGATCCATTTGGAGTTGAGTTTATGTAGGGTGTTAGGCAAGAGTTTTTTTTTTTTTTTGCATTCTTCTACCTGTAGACTTCTAGTTTGATTAGCTATTTGTTGAAGATACTTTTGAGTTTTAAGCTACAATTAGAACAATAATGTCCAAGGAAATTGATTACTAGAGATACAAGAAAAGATCTTTCACCATACATCTGTTGATAAATATATTATTACATGCCATAGCTTTACAGGAAATTATCTTTTTGGATTTCTGCTATCAGTGTAGCTCACTTCTTCCATTAACACTGATCAATAGGCCATTTGCTTCTGTAAAAACCAGTCTTACAAATTTTGTGTTTCACACTCTCTAGAGGTTCAGTTTCCTAGGTGTCAGACAGCAGAGATGACATCAGCATATATCCATGAGTCTTTTTCCTCAAACTAATCTACATTAAATAGCAAATAGAGACTGAAGGATCGACAGTATAGTTCAATAATAGTAAAGCTTTTGCCTCACAGGAATCAAGCCCTAGACTTAATCCTCAGCACAGTGAAAAGAAATCAAAACAAACCTACAACAACAACAACAAATCAAAACAAAACCAACAAACCAAACAAAAAAACAAAAACAAAAGCAACAACAACAAAAACCCACAGTCAAGAGGATCTGTTAGTGAAACCATCAAAACTCTCTATAGTTCTTTCAAAAAACATTTGCCAACCTGAAACTCTATCTATAGATACAAGTAAGAACAGAAAAAAAAATCTCAATTGGTATATAAGCTTATCTTTTATTACAAGAAAAAGACATCAAGATGCCAATGTGAATTCTTACAATGAGATGTATTTCTTAAGTATATATGTTTCCCTGCAATATTTCATAATGATTTTCTTGACTATCATAATGTAAAAAATATGTTGTCAACAGAGAAATTGGTAAATAAATGTCTAGAGAGTCATCAGTACTATCAAACAAGCATAACAAAGTATACCCAAAATGAACGTTAGAACTGAGTTCTTTTTGTCAGTTTGCTTACATTTATCTACAGATGTAGAATTCTCTAAAGCAGATAAAAGCATGAAATTAAGAGATTCTTTTGAGAGTGCACAGCTAAGGTGAGCAAAAGGAAGATCATTTGCCATCTGCTTAGAGGATGCTGAAAGTAAATACTAACTTTCAATTGCCTCACATTTAAAATAGGAAATACTCCAAAGCACTTTTAATTTCTCTCTCTGAGATACTAGGATCTTCTCCCACTAAAACATAAAATCAAATAAAAAACATATGCACATATAGATTGTCACACTATTTGAAAATTTGTGCTTTAACATTTCACAGTGTACACATGTAATAACACTTTGTTTTTTGTCTATGTTGCCAAATTGTTTTATGTCATTACTTAGGTGACCAAGTAATTTGCTTTTCAATTCTCCATCAAATTTTCTTTCTTGAATACTTTTTTCAGATGTAGCAAGAGTGCATATTAACTACAATAGTATAATTTTATATGATAATTTAAACCATATTTGCAAGATCATTAGTTTGCTACAAATGATATGACAATGTATTGTCTATTGATATTTAATAAACACAAGTACTCAAAACATTATAAGACCTAAAATCTTATACAAATCATAAAAATAGAGTGGTTTGAGACTTCACATAGTCTGATGCACTACTTGGCTTTTACGAGAACAATAACAAATAATATCAGTACAATGATGTTTATTGTAAGTCAATTCATGTGAACATCCATATTTGTATCTAAGTATTCCTTTTAAAAATGTCTGTTAAAAAGATTTATCTGTGCATTTTTTGCTAATATCTACTTATCAATGAGTACATACCATGAATGTCCTTTTGGGTCTGGGTTATGTCACTCAATATGATATTTTCTAGTTTCATCCATTTGTCTGCAAAATTCATGATGTCTCTTTTTAACAGCTGTATAGTATTCCATTGTGTAAATGAACCACATTTTCCATATCTATTCTTCAGTTGAGTAACATCTGGTTGTTTCCAGTTTCTGGCTATTACGAATAAGGCTGCTATGAACTTATTGGAATACATATCCTTGTGATATGGTGGAGCATCTTTTGGGTATATACCTAGGAGTGGTATAGCTGGTTCTTCAGGTAAAAATATTTCCAACTTTTTGAGGAACTACCAGATTGATTTCTAGAGTGGTTGTATAAGTTTTAACTTACATGAGCAATGGAGGAGTGTTCCTCTTTCTCCATATCCTCTCTAACATGTGCTGTCACTTGAGTTTTTGATCTTAGCATTTCTTATTAAAACCCCAAATTTCTCCTGTATAAAAGAAATGCAGGAACAAAAATGGAGCAGATACTGAAGGAATTTGTGATCAGTGACACGCCCAACTTGTGACCCATCCCATGGATGGGCACCAATCCCTGACACTATTACTGATGCTATATTGTGCTTGCAGACAGGAGCCTAGCATGGCTGTCCTCTGAGAGGTACTACCAGCAGCCAACAGAGACAGATGCAGGTATTCACAGCTAACCATTGTATGGATGGAGGTCGGAACCCCTATGGAACAATTAGGGGAAGGATTACAGGAACTGAAGCAGATGGCAACCCCGTAAGAAGACCAGCAGTATCAACTAACCTGTACTACTGGGGGCTCCCAGAAACTGAGCCACCGACTAAAGAGCATACATGGGCAGGCCCAAGGACTCAAACACATATGTAGCAAAGGGTTGTCTTGTCTGGCCTCTGTGTGAGAGGATGTGGCTAATCCTGTAGATTTGTGACACTTCAGGGTGAAGGTATATCCTGGAGTATGGTACCCTCTCAGAAGTGAAGGGGAGGGGGAAGAGGGAGACAACTCTGAGAGGGGAAACAGGGAGAGGGCGCCATTTGGAGTGTTTGTTAATTAATTAATTAATTAATTAATTAATTAAAAAGATTTATCTGACACCATGAAACAAGTCCCAACTATCAAGCCTTTTTTATAACATAAAATAAAATCAGGAACTATCGATGTAAATCAACCATTACACTGCTTACCTTTCAGGCATAAGGATCTGAATTTGATACCAAGAACTTGTGTAAAATAAGAAAGCCACACATAGTGGCATAAGCATTTAATCTTATCAATGTGGACGCAGAAATGGGTATGCTTGCAGGTTGCTAGCCTCATCTACTTGTCAGGTTCTAGGCCAATGTGAACCTTGTCTTGAAAACAATGATAAGCAGTACCTCAAGAATAACATACAAGGATTTCTTTTGGCTTCCATATACATTCACATACATGAGCACCCACAAACACATGAACATGGACGTATATACACACAGAGAAAAAAAAGAAAATCAAGCA